TTCGCGCGCCATGCCTTGGGGCGCGACGTAATCAACAGGGGAGCCTGCAACCAACAGGGAGTAAATGCATCGGATCTGCGACTGGAGAATCCCGAACCCAGGACAAGCGCACGCGAGGACTATGCCTGGATGCGCGGGGGTCCCCGGGAAGAGCTTTCTCCGGGAAGTCATCTGTGTCTGGCGAGTTGATTTGGATGCGACCCCGTGGGCGAGGGCAGGATGGCCCGGAGGTGGAGGCCCCGTGGTCGACGAAGAGCCCGACCCCGTATGAAGCAGAAGAAAGAGGAGGGAAATGGAAAGACATCCCTTCGGACTGCCAGGAGAGCGCCGCTCGGCGATATTGTTCGTCAGCTCATCGCCCTTCAGGGCCCTCTCGTGCGTGCTCCAGAACTCGAGAGGAAAAAGTGGAGCTGCGCGCTTGGGGGGCCCCTTGGCGGTCACAGAAACCTTGCGACGGTCGAGCTCCCCGACCCAAGTGTGCTCGAAGTACGATAGCAAGTGGTGCTCGCCTGGGGGGAACTCCCCCCGGAGGAGCTCGAAGGCGCCGGGAATCGATCCGGGGGGGAGGAATGAGAGCGTGCCAAGGCAGCGCGCTCTGATCCTGAAGGCCTGATCCTCGAAGTATTTCTGCGTCAGGCCGGAATCCTGGATCCTGCGCATGATTGCCTGTTGTAAATGGAAGTAACACCCGTCTGCGGCGACGCCGGGGAAGACCTGGCACACGCCCTTGTATGCCGCGAATTCAACATCGAGACTGATCCGCTCCACGGCCCCCGCGACGCCTTTAACGCCAGGGACCTTGGACACCAAGAGGCGCACCGCGTTGAAGAGTTGGACGTAGGTCGTTGTCTTTTTATTAGGCAACAAAGCGTAAAGCAACGGAAGGGCGTATCCAGCCACAACCCCATGGATCGTATATACCTGTACAAAGGGCTCTGGAGATATGCGGAAAGACCCATCTGCAAACCAACGAGAACACGTTGCCAGAGTCTGGACGGAAGCGCCTGTACCGAAGATCAAGAAGCGATCCTCCCCTGCAGGCTGGCCCGCGTCATAGAGGAGAAAAGGGTCGTCGTCGTACTTCATCAGAGCCTTGGGAATGCAAACGGTGCTGACGGAGCTGTAGTCAGGCTCCTCGATGTCCTCGCCCTGTTTCAGCTTCTTGCCCTTCTCGGATGCCCTGGCAGCCCACACTCTCTTCTTCAAAGACTGGTTGCCGGGCATGGCGAGCTTGTCAGGCTGGTCGGTCTCGCCAAGCACGTCCGACACCACGCGGGTGCACGGTGTAAAAGGCTGCTCGACGGCGAGCCGCGAGAGCTCCTGCGCAGCGACCTCCCGCGCAACCTGCACAGGAGAGAGCTGGGGGGGGGGAGAGAGAAATGGAACTGAGACGCGGCGATAGCTTGGAGGTGCAATGAAAAGACGCGGCCGTGGAAGCGGGGGCCGCGCCCGCACCTCGGCAGGCTGGGCCCATGGAGCCCGAAACGCTCACCCTGGAGACTCCGAGTGCCATCTGAAAGAAGCACAAAAAAGAGAAAAGGAAACGGTGGCGCGGACCCGCTCTGGATCCGGCATGCCGCAGACGTGGTGCGGCGGCGTGCCGACGACAGTGTGCGTGCCAGTGGCCTCATCGAGGGTCGTGATCAAGAGCGCCTTGCAGTTCGCCTGGGTTCCCACACCAGCACCCCCCCCCGGAAAGCCAAGAAGCGTCCGTCGCGTGTGCGGGATCACGGAATGGGAAGCCCGCGAAGGAGCGCAGTCGTACCCCGGACCGTCCCCCGCGCTCAGTGAGGCGATCGCACCCAGCGCGCAAGCGAGATGTAAAGGAAGTCGCATGGGCGCGGCGGAAGCGAGGAAGCGGCCCCCTCCCATGAGTCCGCGCCCGTACAGTTGAAGAATCGAGAAGACTCGCGAGCGCCACGTAAACTGACCAGGAACACTCTGGAAAGAGACGGGAGTACCCATGTGGATAGAGGGCGGCACTCCGTAGCGCCAGGCTACAAACGAATCGAAGTGGCAGAGAAAACGAAAGAGACCGCTACAAACGGCATGAAGCTTCAGGTCCCTGACAGAAGTGGCGCAAAGGCCTGCTCAAAACGAACGTGCGGAGCCACACTTGTACAAATGATCGAGCCGCCCCCGCGCACGCAAATCAATGAGCCAGAAGCCTGCCGAATAGACGTGCGGAGCCATGTGCGGAGTGGAGTTCGCCCTGGGGGAGAAGGGGTCGGGCAACATTACACGTGTGAGGCAAGGGTATGAATAAAGAGAAAGCGTCCTGTGCCCGGCAACGCCATATGTGCTCGCCCTTCTTCTGCCTCTTGTAATGGAACACGTAGCCTGTCCGAGGAAATCACGGCCCCTAGGCTAACCGCAGAGAGAAGATGCGCGACGACAGAGGAGCAGCAGGCTCGTGAAAATGAAGTGGAGCGGAGGAGAGGGGAGGAGCAGAGCGAAGGGGAGGAACAGCCGAACGCGGCCACACCTGAACACGGCCCCCTCTTTTGCCGAAGACCCGAACAGCCAAAGGAGCGACGCTCGGAACGCCCTAACATCGGCATACCAACAACAACAAGAACAACAAGAACAGCAGCAACAACAACAACAGCACCAACAACAACAGCAACAACAACAATAAGAAGCAGCGTTGTAAGACTGTTCGCTCTTACTTGCCCGCGTGCCATTCAACGCGAAGATCCCACACCCTCGATGCCCGCCCCTCTTTGTCTTCTGGAAACGGGCGAGCTTAACGGCGGAGCGCCTGGACTCCTCAAGGAAACTTGAAGAACATTTTCTTGCAAAAACTTGAAGAGCGTTTTCGGGCCAAACACTTTGGACCGGAAATGGATGGTCGACGTCGTGGTCGTCGTCGCCGTCGTCGCCGTCGTCGTCGTCGCCTCCGCCGTCGCCCCCGTCGTCGTCGTCGTCGTCGTCGCGTCGTCGTGGTGGTGGTGGTGGTCGTCGTCGTCGTCGTCGTGATCGTTGTGGTCGTCGTCGTTATCGTTTTGGTCAGTTTGCTCCGTCGTGACCGTCCTCGCCGTCGTCGTCGTCGTCGACGGCGGCTCCGACGGCGGCGCCAGATGGTTGCTAGAATAGCGTGGATCACATGCGATGGAATGTAAAGAGTGCAGGAGACACGCAGGAAGACATCTGGGTGGCGCGCGGCCTGCCACGGCCAGCTTGTTAGCCCCGCGCTGCGACTTCAAGATGGCGCACTCGACGGGGTTGGCGGCTGCAGCCTCGCGCCCACCCTGCGGCTGGCCCGCGGGGGCCGCAGCCCCCGCCGCCGCAGCCATAGCCGAGGGCGCACTTGCCATGGGGCCCTTGCGACCAGGGCGGCGGCCGCGGTTAGTGAGAGGGAGGGGGGCCAATGAACCGGATACCTCCTAGGCGCGGCAATAGCGGGCAATGGACGCGGCACCGGGAAGCACGAGAGAGAAAAACAAGTACCGCAGGTGCCGCGGACACCGCGCATGAGGGAGACCCGCAGAATGGCCGAGCAATGTGTGGAAGTCAATGGCGGAAAAAAGAAAAAAAAAAAGAGACAGGACTGGGGGTAAAGAAAACAGAACAGCACCCAAACCCCAGCACCCCCCGCTCCCCCCTCTCACTCCTCCTCCCCCCCCCCCCCCCCCCCCGCACCACCCACCCCTCCCTCGCACCCCCCCCTCTTCAACGCCCTCCTGCGGTACTCGGTCGTCTCACCATTCTTTCACTAATATTCCAAATAATCCACCAAAAGCGTCGTGTGCCGCCGTCGCTGCACGCCCTGGTTCGCCCGCGTCCGCAGCGCGCGGTGAGCACGTGCCCTAGGCGCCCTACACAATATGCGTAGAATTGCACCTCCGCGCAGCCCCTTCAGCATAACTATCAGTGTTGCCGCGCGCGCTGCAAGAACAGCGGCCGTCGCCGATGGGTAACGCGGCGGAAATGAAATGCGACGCCATGTGTACGACAGGCCTGTGCCATGCAGATGCAGGGGATGAAAGAACGGCGTCACCATCGCGTCCATAACGATTGCACAGGCCTGGCGAGAACAAACCGCCCCGCCCACAATGGATGGAAGCAGAATTGCCCGTCCGAGGCCCCGGGGGGGCCGCGATATCAGAGGAGCTGTGTCCGAGGGTGCGCGGCGTGTTCTGCGGAAGGTGAAAGAAACAAGTGGCGCTGAGGAGAACACAGGACAAGGAAAGAGGATAAGACCCCCGCATGCAACTAGTATAGCGAATGCTGCCCCCGGCGGACCACCCTGACAATCAATGCACCCGGCGCAGCGCATCAACCACGGGACGCCTAAGAAACGGCCCCCCCCTGGAGAAAACCTCATTAGGCCGACGCGGCCGGCGTGCAACGCTGCCCATGAGCTCCAGCAGGACAACGTCGTAAGTCCTAGCGGAAGGAAAGGCGACACCCCACCCCCTTGCTTGGCAGGAATGGCGGTCAAAGCAATCGGCGCTAGAGGGCAGCACAAGCGGAAGGCCAGATAGCGCTCATTCCCCCTAAATCGGCTGACGAATCGGGCGAGGACCCAGGCTGCGCAGCAGAAAGACAAGCCACAACTGAAACAGATGAAAGCAAGTAAGCATGGCGAATAACAAAGAGACCGAAGATCCGCCGGATCAGGTGACGAATAAGAACGGCCCCATGGCCGGAGAGGTCCCGCGCGGTCCTGCGGGGCCCACCCCCAATGAACCTGCAAGAAGCAGGAGAGAACTGCCACAGGAACTTCTGGTTGTCCGGGGCGTCGGAGCGCCCGCCACATGCACGCCACCCCCTCCCCCGACGCCTCGAGGAACTCCAGCTCGGGGATGAAGAACGGCGCCTGCAAGGTTGAATCCGGAGGGCAAATCGGCAGGAAGACAAGGGGGAACGGCGTCGAAGTAATGGGCCGCCGCGTGAGCAATGAATTTGCACGGGAACAAGCCACGATGGAAACGGCAAACAGAGCGAGAGAAAGATAAGGGACATAGAAGCCACGGTTGCCCGCGAGGCAGGAGAGCTGAAGGAGTGCTGGGCACCTGCTTCAGGATGACGTAGTCCCCCACCCAGGCGAGGCGGCCAGAGGAAGTCAAAGAGTCCCTGGCGAGCTCAGCGTGCTCCCTTGAAAGGCGCAGGGCGGCAGCCACGGCACGCAAGGATCCCCAAGCACAGCGGGTGCCCGCGGTCATGGAGGCCAGGCTGGCGACGATGTCCACGGAGGTAGCCTGGATGGACTCCGCGGCGCCTGATCGGCAGCGGGCGTTGACTAGACGACGGAAATCACGATGAGGGGAACAGAGGAGGCAGCGGACCGAGGAAAGGCATGGAATGAAACAGCGAGACAACAGAGTCGCGATGCCCGCGGGCCGGGTGCAAGGGAGAGCGGGAGAACTCGAACGAAATCACGTGAATGCGCGCGCGCGCTCGCGACGGCAACTGCGCGACCAGGTAACTATGCACATGAAACGATGCAACAAGACAGGGTAGCACACGCAGACGGCCTGGACGCACGCCCACGTCCGCAGGGTGGGCGCCCCCGGGCCGCCCGGAATCAGGAACCGCATCTGGAAGATCTGGAGAAAAGCCTGGCACTGAATGGGGGGGCCGCCCCGTCCCCGGGAGCGGCGTGGACAGCATCTGTGGCGAATCCACGGCCGAGCCGGCGCGCGGTGCGCACCTCTGAGCCCCCCGCTGCGGGCTTGCGACGGACGCCGCGGCGACCGCCGAAGCCAGGCGCGACGCTGCCACGACCGGCACATCAGGGCAACGAGACGCTCGAGAGGCACTTGCCGGGCCACGCTCGCGGCCCGAGGCCCCGTCGATCCATGACATCAGACTTGCGTGGAGCACCACCTCCTCATGCACTTTGAGGAAGTAGGACCCCTGGCGCTGCTCCTGCTCCCGCTTGTAAGCGAGTTGTGCGGCTGCAATGTCCCGTTCCCATCGTTGAGCTAGCGGATGCTCCCCCAGACGACGAAGCTCTTCCATCTCTGCTCGCGCCCTGCGGAGGCAGTCAGAAGAAGGGACCCTTCCCCAATGTTTGGAATGCGCAGGGCCGAGGCGGGGGTCACAGAAGGGGGGTGCGACGTGCGGGATACAGGCGCAGAGCTGGAAGATGGAAGACACGATGCGACACGAACCTGCCAAGCAAAGGAGCATGCAGGAACGAGGCATGGCATCCGGCATTGCCCCAGGAGGATACAAGAGCCCAAACGGGGACAGAGCTAGGCAGTGACCCGGCGGGGTGGGGCGAGCGTGGACAGTAGGGGCGACGAGTTCAGACCCCTGTGCCTGCGCATGAGCGCGTCCCAAGCCATCCTGCGCAACATGCGCGGCGAGTACGTCTTCGCGCCCGCTGGCAGTAT